TTCTAATACTATATAACACCATGACAATTGTGTGTACATGTAGGTAGTCAGTAGCTGAGATAATATACTTGGTATGCTCTCTTTATCCTTGGATTGTTGCAGTTTTGATAAGACGAGTGCAACATCTAGGTATCTGCTCCTTGATCTTGGGTATATCTGTGTAGGGATGGCACGATACCAAAATTTTTACCGATACCGATACTTTTTTCACTGTGGTAACTGTCTTCATTATTCAAGGGAATGCTTATTGTTCAGAAATTCTTAAATAATGCAGGAAGGTTAAATGTTAAATAAGTTAATTCCTCTGAGATGAGAGTGTCATGACAGGCAGCTCCGGGAGACTTACAACTTGAAAGAAGTGGAATCTCTCTGTATAATTAGTAATCTGGTGAAGAAAGTCAAGAATCAGTTACGAAAATAAAAAGGAATAATTTCCGGTTATATTAAGCTTACATAAAACTGTTTATTTAAAACTTTAAAAAGCATTTTGAAATGTGTAAAGGATATATTATTAAATTATAGTTACGAACTTTAACAGCTTCTCTCGTTGTAAACTGAAGAACTGACGTTTCCATTATAAGTTCAGAGTTTTTTTTTTAATAAAGTGTGAAGAAATACTTTGAGAAATAGAATAAAAACGTACGTTATTCTAATTATTGAAATAAACTATATATAGCGTCCCTCTGAACGTATCTCCTGAGATCTCTTACTCATTCCTGCAACACTGCAACCTCTTGATGTGTTGATTGCAACATGAAAGGCCTAGAGCTATCATTCAGCTCTCCCTGTGGTTGTTTTGCAATCTTGTATCGCTTGTTCGTGATTCTTGCGCGCGCGCGCGCGTGTGTGTGTGTGTGTGTACGTATCAGTAACTTAATTTTAAAGATCTCAGATTGAAGTTAGGGAAAATTAGCATCGCCGTATTTTCAGGAATTAATGTGTTGCTGTAGGAGAGTAGATGTTTCCTGCAGTAGTCGACAAACTTTCATTCTAGTGAAAGAGTTGGGGGGGGGGGAGGTGAACTTAGATATTTACTGGCTAGGTCTGCCAGAGATTATTTTCTTTCCACCACTCATGGATTTCCTTTTTCAAACAATGACGCCATTGCCAAATATTTGTCTATATATATTTTTTGTTTTGGTAACACATGAATGCCCGCGTGTTTGTTTTTGTCTCCTGCTTTTTGTTATTACAAAGTATTCCAAGTTGTGACGCGCTGTTGTTAGGGATTGTGTCTATAGTTTCTTCACAACATTGATCAGAATCATACTCGACAAGTTTATCAATCCTTCTACATCATCTTCACATACTTCATTCGCTTCGTTGCTGCTTAATGCTGCTACCAGACCAGTTTTTGAGCTGATGAATTCTCAGAGTTTCTTTCATTTCATTCTTAATATTGTCAAGGTTTGTTTTACATGACTCATCCTCTGCACCACAGCCTGGCTGATCGGGTACTGACTTGGACTTTTAAAGTTTTCTCTCGGAGACAGCTAGTGGTTTGTTAGTAATTGCTGTATGAATGAAGGAAGTTGACGATGACATCTTCGGTAATTCCTAGAATATGACAGAGAGAAAGTTACCTTTTGATCATACTTTGTGATTGTCATGTGTTAGTGACCACTATATTGAGGATAAACGTAGTTTTGTTTATGAAAATGAGAGTTGAGTTGCTACTTATATACTTAGTTTACACGGGACCACTGCAGAGTACACTGAGAAAGTTTACACGGGACCACTGCAGAGTACACTGAGAAAGTTTACACGGGACCACTGCTGAGTATACTGAGAAAGTTTACACGGGACCACTGCAAAGTATACTGAGAAATTTAACGGACCACTGCTGAGTAACTGAGAAAGTTACACACCATGCAGAGTACCACTGAGAAAGTTTACACGGACACTGCCGAGTACACTGAAAAGTTTACCGGGACCACTGCGAGTACCTGAGAAAGTTTACACCGGCCTGCAGAGTATACTGAGAAAGTTTACACGGGACCACTGCAGAGTATACGAGAAAGTTTACAACGGACACTGCAGAGTATACTGAAAATTTACCCGGACCATGCTATATACTGAAAAAGTTTACACGGGACACTGTGATTTTATGAAAATTTTAAACACGGACCACTGCTGGTATACTGAGAAAGTTTAAAACCGGACCACTGCAGAGTATACTGAGAAAGTTTAACGGACCACTCTGAGAAATACTGAGAAAGTTTACACCGACCACTGCTGAGTTATAGGAAAGTTTACACGCCACTGCTGAGTATACTGAGAAAGTTTACACGACCACTGCTGAGTATACTGAAAAGTTTACAGGACCAATGCTGAGTATACTGAAAAGTTACACCGGACCATGCAATATATGAGAAAGTTTACACGGACCATGCTGGTATACTGAAAAGTTTACACGGGACCACTGATGATTACTGAGAAAGTTTCACGGACCACTGCTGAGTATTGAGAAAGTTTACAGGGGACCTGATGAGTACTGAGAAGTTTACACGGACCACTGATGAGTTACTGAGAAGTTTAAAACGGTACCACTGCTGAGTATACTGAGAAAGTTTACACGGGGACCACTGCTGAGTATACTGAGAAATTTACACCGACCACTGTGAGTTTTACTGAGAAGTTTACACGGACCCTGCTGAGTATATGAGAAAGTTTACACCGGGACCACTGCGAGTATACTGAGAAAGTTTACACGGGACCACTGCTGAGTATACTGAGAAAGTTTACACGGACCACTGCTGAGTATACTGAGAAAGTTTACACGGGACACTATGATATACTGAGAAAGTTACACGGACACTGCTGAGTATACTGAAAAGTTTACACGGACCACTGCAAAGTTACTGAGAAGTTTACACGGCCCTGTGTATACTGAAAGTTTACACGGACCACTCTGATTACTGAGAAAGTTTACAGGGACCACTGCTATATATGAGAAAGTTTACACGGACCACGGGCTAAAGCATATGAAAAGTTACACGGGACCACTGCTGATATACTGAGAAAGTTTTACACCGACCACTGCAGAGTATACTGAGAAAGTTTAACGGGACCACTGTGAGTATACTGAGAAGTTTACACAACCACTGCTGAGTATACTGAAATTTAACGGAGCACTGCTGAGTATACTGAGAAAGTTACACGGACCACTGCTTAATACTGAGAAAGTTTAACGGACCACTGCAAAGTATACTGAGAAGTTTACACGGGACCACTGCTGATAATACTGAGAAAGTTTACACGGACCATGCTGATTACTGAAAAGTTTACAGGGACCACTGCTGATATACTGGAAAGTTTACACGGGACCACTGGAGTATACTGAGAAAGTTTACACGGGACCACTGTGGTATACTGAGAAAGTTTACACGGGCCCACGCTGGTATACTGAGAAAGTTTACACGACCCTGCTGAGTTTACTGAAAGTTTCACGGAGGGACACTGCGGGAGTATATGAGAAAGTTTACACGGGACCACTACTGAGTATATTTGAGAAAGTTTACACCGGACCACTGCTGAGTATACTGAGAAGTTTCAGGGGACCACTGTGAGTAACTGAGAAGTTTACACGGGACCACTGATGAGTATACTGAGAAAGTTTACACGGGACCACTGCTGAGTATACTGAGAAAGTTTACACGGGACCACTGCTGAGTATACTGAGAAAGTTTACACGGGACCACTGCAGAGTACACTGAGAAAGTTTACACGGGACCACTGCTGAGTATACTGAGAAAGTTTACACGGGAGGGACCACTGCAGAGTATACTGAGAAAGTTTACACGGGACCACTGCAGAGTATACTGAGAAAGTTTACACCGGACCACTGCTGAGTATACTGAGAAAGTTTACACGGGACCACTGCTGAGTATACTGAGAAAGTTTACACGGGACCACTGCTGAGTATACTGAGAAAGTTTACACGGGACCACTGCTGAGTATACTGAGAAAGTTTACACGGGACCACTGCTGAGTATACTGAGAAAGTTTACACGGGACCACTGCAGAGTATACTGAGAAAGTTTACACGGGACCACTGCAGAGTATACTGAGAAAGTTTACACGGGACCACTGCTAAGTATACTGAGAAAGTTTACACGGGACCACTGCTGAGTATACTGAGGCAATTTACCTTTTTATGGGCTAAGATGAGAACATTTTACGCTTGTTGATCCACTGACAAGATGGTAAGTAGTGGTGCTGCTGCTCCTGGATGCTGCTGCTCCTGGATGCTGCTGCTCCTGGATGCTGCTACTGCTGGATGCTGCTGCTGTTGCTCCTGGATACTGCTGCTGCTACTGCTTCTGCTACTGCTGCTGGATGCTGCTGCTCCTGGATGCTGCTACTGCTGAAGCTGCTGCTGGATGCTGATACTGCTTTTACTACTACTGCTGCTGCTACTGCTGCTGCTACTGCTGCTGGATGCTGCTGCTCCTGGATGCTGCTACTGCTGAAGCTGCTGCTGGATGCTGATACTGCTTTTACTACTACTGCTGCTGGATGCTGCTGCTCCTGGATGCTGCTACTGCTGCTCCTAGATGCTACTGGTACTCCTGGATGCTGCTACTGCTGCTGCTCCTGGATGCTGCTACTGCTGCTCCTAGATGCTACTGCTACTCCTGGATGCTGCTACTGCTGATGCTGCTGCTCCTGGATGCTGCTGCTCCTGGATGCTGCTACAGCTGGATGTTGCTGTTGCTGCTACTGCAAGATACTGCTGCTACTGGTGTTGGTAGTGGTGGTAGTGCTACTTCGGTTGCTACTGTTACTGGTGCTGCTGCTATGCTGCTGAGAGTGTAGGCCTGTTGATGTATAGTTATGGTGTATTACACCAAACAGTAGACTGTGAATGAAGAACTGGGAGGCCTAGTATTATTATTAATAGTAGTAGTAGTAATAGTAGAAATAGTACTACTACTAGTAGAAATATTAGTACTAGTAGTAGTACTACTACTAGTGGTACTACTAGTAATAGTATATTCATGGGGAAGCAGGTAAGGGTCATAAAGGGTCGAGAATGGGAAGTAATCAGGTTGCATGGGGGTAATGAGTATTTATGAGATATGTGTGGCATGACGACAGTGACTGGCACTTTCTGGCATTTCTTACAGTGTGGGTTGACTTGACTGGCACTCCCTGCCAGCCAGGCCAAGCCCCTTATGACACCGTAGTGTCTCCTTTGTAACGTTGGTTGGCACTTTTTAACAAGTCTTTACATCCTCTGGTTTTATTATTTGGCACGTCCTGGCTCCCCCACAGTGTTTGAGTGCCACGAGTGCCACCCTCCCCCACACTAGTTAAGTGCCACGGGTGCCACTGATCAAGTAACGGCCTCCTGGGTAAGTGCCTTCGTTATACGTGATCCTCACCACGGAGTGTTGTTCTGTGTTGCCTTGACGCATTTACCACTATTTCTGATATAATAAAGAGGGGGAACGATGGGAGAAAGTAGGGGAGGGGAGGGGGGGGTATGGAGGAAACTTCAGGGGGAGGAGACAGGGAGGGGAATGTAAAGAAAGGAGGTTAATGCAGGGACGGCAGCGTGGGCTGCTGTCCCCACGTCAGACTGTAAGATGCAGACAGCAACAGCTTGGTTGACCTGCGTGGCTGTCACTCGGCAACCACACTGTAGTACACATTGAGTACTCATTACATTTAAGTGATGTGCAGAAGGGAGGAAGAACGAAAAGAGGAGGACGAGGAAGACGAGAATAAAGACAGAACAAGAAAATGAGAAAAAAAATAAAACAGGAGGTAATGGATAATAACTCAGCAGTAGCAACACATCCTCTGACATTACGCTACTAACTTCAAATCCCGTAATTTGCGCAACCCGTTGTAATCCCTGTATCCAAATGACGCAATGTATATTACGCGTGTCTGTACATTATATGCACCATACTGCACCAGGGTAGGTAAACCTGTGTATCTTTGTAACCCTGCGTGATGAAGCTGCCACTCAACTCGGCCACCGAGCAGAGGTTGTGTTATCCACTGATGGGTTAATTTATCGGGTTTGAAGCCTATCGAGTACATAATGGTTAAGGTTGCATGTAACATGTTCACCACTAGTCATTGTTTATGTACAAACATACACACCCCTGTGTGTATGTGTACGTTCACTAATATAATCTGTGTATATCATCCATACTTACTGTGTGTTCAGTACACGTGTGCGTGCACGACACAACTGCTATACTTGTAAGAGTCTCGTATATTTGCACGACAGTACTCTTGTACTAGCAGGACAACACCCGCACACTTACACAACACTCGTCCACTTGCACAGAACGTGTACAGCAATTGTACTCGCATAAAGCCAAGAATAATTTAGACGTGTTTAGCTGAGTCCTGCGCTTTATCAAGACTTGATAAACTTAGGTCTGTCCTGAGCTTTATTAAGAGTTGATGAAGAATAAGTCTGACATATTAAGTCTTTGTTTACTTTCCAGTTTTCTTTATCCTCGCAGCATGAACTAATTTAGATTCAGTATTGTAACTCCGTGTCTCTCGTTGCAGTGGGTGGAGGAGAGCTTCACGCAGTTCGAGAACGGCATCAACTGGAGATCGTACGTGGTTTGCGACGTGGCCTACAACAACGTCAACAACTGGCTGTGGACACCCTTCATCGAACGAGGACCCGCCAATCGCATGTATATTGAAGTGAAGTTCTCCATGAGAGATTGCTCCCTCTTCCCCGGCACTGCTCTCTCTTGTGAGTACATACCAATGTATATAATTACTACACAACTGCTGCCTATTCTTAACATTTCACCATCCATATGTTTCTCATAGTTTCATTTATATGTTCTTCCGGTGACAATTTTTTGTTAATAACTGCCAGATCCCTTTTTCTGAAACTTTCAGTATTTCGTATCACAGTCTGTATTCTTCATGTGGATTGATTTTACTTTCTCCCATTTCCATTACATGTCATTTATCCCCAATAAATTTCATCATCCATCTATCACTACATGTGCTCAGTTTATCCAGATCCTCTTTACATAATCTGAAAACATTTTTTTTGTTGTTTTTTTTTATTACTAATGGTAAATCATTTACGCAAAAACATTATTGGAGCAAGTGCAGACCCTTGTGGCACCCCACTTGTCACATCTTCCCATGCAGACATTTTTTCCCCCTCATAACTTTTCGCATTTTCCTCTCCAACAAAAAGTTTCTCATCCATTGTAATAAACTTTAAATCCTCCCATATTTTACCGTTTCTAAATTAGACTTTCATGGGGAATTTTTTCTAAAGCTTCCTTAAACTCAAGTATCTGACCATTCATTTCTTTCATAAACAATTTCAGTAATTCCGTCATAATAACTTAAATTTCATTGGCATGAATCTGCAGACAAAAAAAAAATGTTTGTCAGTATGTCATTTTTTATATGTTGAATTCTTTTTAATGATTTTTTCCAGTAATTTTACAACACGTGTCAAGGAGACTCGCCTATGTCGTGAGGGGTCTTTCTTGTTACCCTTTATAAATATAGACACAGTATATGTCATCTAGCATGTGTCTGCTAATTTATCTTACTCTAGTGAAATGCTTAAAAAAATTCCAAAGTAGATAACATAACTCATCCGCACATTCTTTTAAGACCCATTCTTTTAAGTGTGTGTGTGTGTGTGTGTGTGTGTGTGTGTGTGTGTGGTGTGTGTAGTGTGTGTGTACACTTATTTATGTGTATGGTTCTAGGGGTCGAGTCAAAGCCCCTGGCTCTTCTCCTTAACTTGCCTTTGGATTCACTCCCTCCTAGCCTTGTGAGCCCTGTCATACTTCTACTTAAAACTATGTATGGAGAATGCTTCCACCACTTTGTCCAGATCATTCCATTTCTCGACCATCCTGAGGTTGAAATAATTCTTGACATCCCCATGACTCATCTGTATATGTAGCTTCCAATTGTGCCCTTGTGTACTTGAATCCAGCTTTTCGAGCAGTCTGTACCTCTCTGCCCTAGCAGTTCCTCTGAGTATTTTGTATGTTATAGCTTCCTTGGTTCTGCTGTCCTCTACTGTTTTCAGGGTCAGTTCCTCTAGCCTTTCTCAGCTCATACCCCTGAGGTCTGGAACTATAGCCCTGTTGCATACCTTTGCCTCTTATCCAGTTTCTTAACGTGGTTTATCAGGTGTGGGTGCCATGCTGATGCTGCATGCTACAAGATGAGCCTGACATATGCTGTATAAAGGGTCATAAATTAATCTTTGTTGAGAGCCCTGAGGGTATTATTAGATCTGTCAATCAAGTATTGGCTGCAGTGGTTATTCGACTGATGTGAGCCTCTGGCGAGCCTCCAGCCTCTGTTTAGGCGTGTCTCCATTTTACATCAACAGAGGCTTCAGGAACCTCTGTCTTCCCTAGGGGCCTAGCCCATACTTGTTCCTGGTCTTCTTGCCCCTTGCCCCTTCCCTAATTTTCGTATTATTGCATTTGCTGGGGTTGAATTCAACGTTATTACACCAGGATCACACTTGCCGTAGGCTTCTCCAAGTCTCTGTATATCTTCATTGTGTTTGTCCTCCAGTACATCCAAGACCTGTAGTAATGGTCAGTAACACTGAGGGACTGGCCTGGACAACATAACCTTGGAAGATTCGAGTGTAAAGCCAAATAACATTGGGGGATTGACCTGTGCAGCTCCGTAACACTGAAGGATTGACATTACACAACAGCCTGGTTGACCAGGCTAGCACCAGACGAATCTGGCCAGTGGTCGGGCTCCGAGAGTAGAAAGACTCCCGCTACTCATCAAAGGTATATCAAAGGTAAAGATTGACCTGTACAAGTTGTTAGTTTCATTCCGAGGTACACAGGAGGGGTTACAGATAAACAGCAGTGGAGGGGGGTAAATTTCGAAACAAAACTAATCTAATTTTAAAACTTTCACCCCGATCGAAATGAAATTTTATATTTAAGGTAACTCAATAGTACTAATACACCGGGGAAATTGTCACCAAAAATCGGTGTGGAACTTTTTCAATTAACGTGATGCTGAACGTCAGCCTTAAGTTAATTCGATTCGTAAATCCATCTGCGTTTGTTTACAGAACTTTCAGTTTATGATGCGAGGGGAGAACTGGAGGAAATTGGCGTGGAGAATTAGGAAGTGGAAAGGGCACTGGGAGTGAGGTGGGGGTCGAGGAGAGATGTAGTGTCTCCCTGTTAGTACCTCTTTGCTAGTATCTTTTAGTTAGTATTTCCTTGCTAGTACCTCCATGCTAGTACCCTCAGTCCTCGAGCTTTCTTCTAAAGACTCTTCAGTCTCGCTTTCACATATTTCTTTTTTTCATGTTGCATCTGATGGTATCGTCCAGGTCCGTCTCAAGTTACTTTACCTTAATCACCCCTTTGGTTGCTTCTATAAATCTGTTATGTAACTCAGCTTTTCTACTTTATCCTGTCATAACACTAATGTCACATTCAAGATAGTTTTCTGTCTTCCTTGCAACTTTCCCGTTTGGTTTAATTTTCCTTTCTCTTTCTTCTGCCTCTGCTTTAAACTTGGTGAAATTATCCCCAGTCTTCTTCTCTCCACCTCCTCTACCGTCTTATCAGGTCTCAAAGGCACATTCCCCATTGCTCACAGTTATTTCCCCCATACATTTTATTAATAAGTTCTCCTAGTGGACGTTCCTCTTCCTTCACTATTGCTTTCCTCCCAGTTGAAGCTTACCTGAAGACGATCCCGGGGAGAGTCACCTCTTCCTAACAGCCCGGTCCCAGACCAGGCAACCTTGGTGATGACCAGATCAACCAGACTGTTAGTACTACACACAGTTCAGCACAGGCATCACAGCCAGGTTAAGAATCTTATGAGGTTCGGTTTCGAAGACATCCAGAGATCTGTTGGTGATTTCCCTTTTGAATGAAGGTGTTGAAAAGTCTTGATCCCTTTACACTTACTGACTTATCTCTGGTGCATTCATTGCAACTCTGCTTTTCATTTTAAACATTTTGCAACATCTTCCGAACCTCCTGCTTTTGTACATCAGACTAATCCCTCCAGAATTTTCAATGTTTAAATTATGATGCATCTTATATGCGGTCCAGGGAGCACATTGTACACCCTACCTAACTTACCTTCTTTCATTCCAGCTAACCTAACTCCCTTCACCCTAACTCACTTAGCTAACTTACCCGACCCTAACTTCCTTCACTACCTAATCTATTATGTGTAGGTTACAATGGTAAGTGTTGATTGGAGTGGTGTGGGTGTGTTTATGGGTTGGATTGGTATGTATGTGGGTTAGTGGTATTCGTCGGTACTGTTGGGCTTGTGGGTTTGAGGTGGTGTGGTGTGTGGATTGAGGTGGTGTGGTGTGTGGATTGAGGTGGTGTGGTGTGTGGATTGAGGTGGTGTGGTGTGTGGATTGAGGTGGTGCGGTGTGTGGATTGAGGTGGTGTGGTGTGTGGATTGAGGTGGTGCGGTGTGTGGATTGAGGTGGTGCGGTGTGTGGATTCGGGTTGTGTATGTGGGATGGAGCGGTGTGTAGTGTAGGAACCTGTGATATGCTGCTGATGGATGCGAGTAGGACCCACCTAGCGTGGGCCAGGTGACCAAAAGCAGTGGTTCATTGTCTTAATAGTGGTGGGTGTATCTGTGATGGTGTTTGTTGAAGACAGTGATGGTCATTGCAAAAAATTTCCATCTAAGTTGCCCTGTATTGCAGATCAAGGAAAGATATTGTAGAAGGTTAGGCTTACCCTGCAACACACTGCAACGGTACTGCAGCCGAAGCTTAAGCCTCTCGTAGGCCTGACCTCCATGTTTTCAGATAGTTAGCACTTCCTCGGTCTCAAGGCTGTGCTAATCTTTGTAGGTCTGCTTCTTCAGGGAACAAGTCAGTCTTCCCAGGTCACCTCTTGGGCTTGTTCACTGCATGCAAGTCCCAGGTACCATTAAAAAAAAAAAAAAACACTGCTCTATAACGTTGAAGATCCATGAATCTCTCTCACTTTCAGAAAGCAAGCTTCCTCAAAACTTTAACTTCTAAAACTTAAGTTTCCTCATTATTATTATTATAATCAAAAAGAAGCGCTGAACTAAGTTCCCTCAGACTTTGAGGACACCATAAGGTCTCCACTACACTTGTACCAATATCACTTCACTGCACCACCATCCACCCCTTCTAAGCGCTGTAGGAAAAAATAATCCAGTAAATTAATTAACGACTTATATAATTCGATACATTATAATTTATTATATTTAGACGAATAGTCTTTAATTAAATTTAGATTGATATGATACATCATTAAAGTTATGTAGAGTGGCTCTAGAGATAAATTTTAAAAAGGTACTTTGAGAAAACTCCATGAACGAGATCCATAAACATTAAGTTATAATCACAGATATCTTTTGTAACTCAATAGTAACAATGCCCAAGTTTACTTTCTGCTCTTTGTTTATACTGCAAGAGTCTGACCAGAAGGCAGAGGTGTCCTAGTCTCAGAGTAGAGGCTATTGTAACTATGGTCACCTTACCTAACTAACTTACACACCTGTACTGTAAACACCTGGTTACATACTAAGCATATTTCAATGCCTTAATCGGTATTTGAGTATTGTACAGTGTCAAAGACTATACAGTAAACCCTCGATATAATGAACTTTTAAAATTATAGGCAAAATTTAATAGTTTAAAGGTGTTAAAAGTGTATTTTTTCAAGTACATATATCTGTAAATTGTACAGTGCTAGATTATGGTTCAGTCGAGTACTCGACTGCGTTTTTTACTATTGTTTTTAACATTCTGTTATAAGGGACACTCTTACAATCCCCTGTTGATTCACTATATCGAGGGTTGACTGTACCTTAATACTCTAGTCTAGAGTCTAGAGCGAGACCCTGATTTGTTTCTTACTGGGTTTTGGTATAAAAATTAAGCGAGGTAACTCCCCCGAGGACGAGTGTTGTTACTGCTGTACACACACACACACACACACACACACACAAAATGTGCTTAGGGAATGGAAGAAATACAGAAGGCAAAGGACCCAGGAGAATAAGGAGACAAGTCGTAGAGCCAAATCTGAACAAAAAATGTTGTACAGCCACATCAGGAGGAATACAGCAGTCAAGGACCAGGTAATCAGGCTGAGGAAGGAGGGGAGGTCACAAAAAACGATTGCGATGTGAGAAGCTTAACAGGAGATTCAAAGAAGTGTTCACAGAGGAGACAGAAGGGTCTCCAGAAAGGCAGAGAGGTGGGGTACACCGTCAAGTGTTGGACACAGTACATACAACCGAGGAAGAAGTGAAGAGGCTGTTAAGCAAGCTAGACACCTCAAAGGTGATAGGGCCAGATGGGTCCATGGGTTCTAAGAAAGGGAGCAGAGGCGCTTTGTGTACCACTAACAAATATCTTTCAACACATCTATCGAAACAGGACGACTACCGGAAGTATGGAAGACAGCAAACGTAGTCCCAATTTTTAAAAAAGGAGACAGACACGAAGCATTAAACTACAGACCAGTGTCACTGACATGTATAGTATGCAGAGTCATGGAGAAAATTATCAGGAGAAGAGTGGTGGAGCACCTAGAAAGGAATGAGCTTATCAACGACAGCCAGCACGGTTTCAGGGATGGGAAATCCTGTGTCACAAACCTACTGGAGTTCTACGACAGGGTGATAGCAGTATGACATGAGAGAGAGGGGTGGGTAGATTTCATTTTTTTGGACTGTAAGAAGGCGTTTGACACAGTTCCACACAAGAGATTAGTGCGGCAGCTGGAGGACCAGGCAGGGATAACAGGGAAGGCACTACAGTGGATCAGGCAATACCTGTCAGGAAGACAACGAGTCATGGTATGTGGCGAGGTGTCAGACTGGGCGCTGGTAACGAGCGGGGTATCACAGGGATCAGTCCTAGGACCAGTGCTGTTTCTGGTATTTGTGAACGACATGACGGAAGGAATAAACTCCAAAGTGTCTTTGTTTGCAGATGACGAAGTTGATGAGAAGAATTTAATCGGACGAAGACCAGGCAGAACTATAGAGGGATCTGGACAGACTGTAGGCCTGGTCCAGAAACTGGCTCCTGGAGTTCAACCCCACCAAGTGCAAAGTCATGAAGATTGGGGAAGGGCAAAGAAGACCACAAACGGAGTACAGTCTAGGGGGCCAGAGCCTACAAACATCACTCAAAGAAAAGGATCTTGGTGTGAGTATAACACCGGGAGCATCTGAGGCGCAAATCAACCAAATAACTGCTGCAGCGTACGGGCGCCTGGCAAACCTAAGAACAGCATTCCGACATCTAAATAAGGAGTCATTCAGGACTCTGTACACTGTGTACGTTAGACCCATATTGGAATATGCAGCGCCAGTTTGGAACCCTCACCTAGCCAAGCATGTAAGGAAACTAGAGAAAGTGCAAAGGTTTGCAACAAGACTAGTCCCGGAGCTAAGAGGTATGTCCTACGAGGAGAGGTTAAGGGAAATCGACCTGATGACACTGGAAGACAGGAGAGTTAGGGGGATATGATAACGACATATAAAATACTGAGGGGTATAGACAGCGTGGACAGAGACAGGATGTTCCAGAGATGGGACACAGCAACGAGGGGTCACAGTTGGAAGCTGAAGACTCAGATGTATCGCAGGGATGTTAGGAAGTATTTCTTCAGTCAGAGTTGTCAGGAAGTGGAATAGCCTGGGTAGTGATGTAGTGGAGGCAGGATCCATACATAGCTTGAAGAAGAGGTATGATAAAGCTCACGGAGCGGGAAGAGTGACCGGGTAGCGGCCAGGTGAAGAGGCGGAGCCAGGAGCTGTGAATCGACCCCCTCAACCACAACTAGGTGAGTACACACACAGTGAAGAGGCGGGGGCAGGAGCTATGAATCGACCCCTGCAACCACAACTAGGTGAGTACAACTAGGCGAGTACACAAACATACACACACACACACACACACACACACACACACACACACACACACACACACCACACACACACACACACACACACGGGGCCAGGAGCTGAGTATCGACCCCTTCAACCATAATTAGGCGAGTACTCCCTCCCTCCCTCACAGGTCACCACCTCTGCTGCACACACAGTTGGTGACCTGTCACTGCTGCACACATACTCACAGGTGGTAAGCTGTTACTGCTGTAGCTGTAACAGCTTACCTCAGGGATGAACATTACATGTCATATGATGGGCAAGTGTGTGCATCCAGGTGGTCAGTGACCAAACCTTCTCTCCCTTGAACTCTCTCCAGTCCTCTTGCAGTGATGATTGAATAAGAGTGTAGCGCTCTCTTCAGCAGTTATATTCACTCACTCGCATAGTACACTTTCTTCACAAAGTCTGGAGGTGACGTCTTCACGCTCTCAGTGTTGCTGACACACTTCTAGGTCCCTCAAGGGAGGATCCCTGATGCTAATGAGGGTGCTCTTGATCTAGGAAATTGGATCTGTGCTCCACTTCCATGAATTAAGCCTGAATGCCTTCCACCCCCCGTCCCCTTTCCATCCACAGGCGCTGTATAATGTGTACGGGTTTACGCTCCCCCATAATAATAATAATTGACACACTTCCCGTTTTCAGTCTGGTCATCTGTAAATGCGCTCCTATCGACGGCACTACCTTTTTTTTCTAGTATTTATGAAAATTGTTCTATTTTGCTTTGGAGATAAATGGTATAAAATACCGACACTGGAAAACTAGACACAAATACAGCATAATATTATCCTTCATTAACCAATAAAGGATTGCTTTATTCTGCATTTGTCTTTCCGCTGTGCTGTTAAACTCTTGTGTTGAGAATACTTCCTTATAGGAATTTGGTAGGGTAAACTTAACTGACTAACGTTAATAAGACTACATCCTGACAGCTGACAGGGAAGGTTCTCTCACACCGCTGATATACATATTATATTTCCGTGGCTTTAAAGTGTTCCTAGTTAAACCTGTCTGTTGGACTTTTCTAAATCTTAAGCGAAGTTATGATATGGTAAGTGAACTGCGCCATGATGTAAGTTAGAGGGAAAGAAGCAGGTGTTGTAGCTTCTCTCTCAAGTTTGTCCATCACTCGCCACTTCTTATTCGATTTAGATTTAGATTTTACGGCCGAAGCAGCAAGTTTATTGTGTGCCCTTGAACCATCTTGTGGACGGTAGTACAAGAGTATAGGGATACACAAAAGGCCTAGGAACTAGGCCCCAAAAAGGTTTAACAGGCGTACATCTGGATTTATATCCATATTTGTCTTATCTGTTGCAAGCAAATTTAGGATATTTGCTGAATATGTCTGGTATCTTAATTTCATTGATAATATATCTTGACTTAATATATATATTATATATATATATATATATATATATATATAATATATATATATATATATATATATATATATATATATATATAAGTGGGCATTGAAGCACACAGTGTTCAAAAGAGTGACCATAAGACTAACCACACTTACCATTTAGTTTGATCATCTTTGTGTCTGCCAAGCTGCCAGAAGTAAATGTAACTAAGCCCACTCAGTCACCCCCCCCCCCTCCCCATCACCACAATTCTGCATTACTCACCTACTAATAACCCACACCACTCCCCCACCAGGCAAGGAGACCTTCTCGCTGCTCTACTACGAATTCGACGCTGCCACTAAGGAGCCTCCCTTCTGGGAGCCGGAGAGCTACAAGTTGATTGACCGTATCGCCGCAGATGAGGGAAGGTTCACTAATTCTGCTGACATCATTATCAACGCTGAGGTTCGCTCCATCCCCGTCACCAAGAAGGGCGTGTACTTCGCCTTCAGGGACCAGGGCGCCTGTATTTCCCTCCTGGCTATCAAGGTAACACACACACCTCCAACGTTTCTTCTTACTGTAGATATGAAGAATATACAGTCACAATGATAAATTAGACACATGTGCAACTCTTGGGTATCTTTATTGAGGAAACGTTTCGCCACACAGTGGCTTCATCAGTCAATACAAAGGAGAAACTTGAAGAACAGGAGGAGAATGAGGTAATCAGTCCCTCAACCTTGAGTCGATGTGTTCAGTCCATCAATCTTGAATAGAATACGGCATATGTGCGGAGAAGGAGCTTATAAACCTTATGGCAGGAGAGGTGCAGCAGTCATAGGTGGTGTCACATTTGTTCAATGTGACATCTGATTACCTCATGTAATCAGTCCCTCAACCTGATTACATGAGGTAATCAGGTTGAGGGACTGATTACCTCATTCTCCTCCTGTTCTTCAAGTTTCTCCTTTGTATGGACTGATGAAGCCACTGTGTGGCGAAACGTTTCCTCAAAGATACCCAAGAGTTGTACATGTGTCTAATTTATCAACGTGTCGGTTCTCTGAACCACTCATCTACACACACAGTCACAATAACGTGGCTGGAACAGTTAGACGACGTTTTGGTCCGTTCCAATCATTAATGTTTTAGGACGGATCGAAACGTCTGTGTAGATATTCCTGAGGTTTTGAGCAATGTAATTATTCTGTGAACTGGTAAGCCAGCTGAAGGTCTTGGTTATGTGACCAAAACTTCCACTTAAGACCCGCGTCAGGAAACACTTGTCCTGTGTCCTGACGGATGATTACCTTTATCAGCTATTACGCCTTGCGTATAGATACTAATCACCATTTGGTTTGCAACCTACGAGTCCGGGTTCAGTCGTGGGGCGGGTGGAGACGAGGGCAAGTTTCCTAACACTTATTCATCTAACAATACAGGTTAATAGGTTAGGTTAGGTTTCAATATTAAGTAGAATTACGTAAATATTCGCCGCCATCTGTTGGATAAACGTTTAACATTTTATTTCTTTATAAGTGTTACGGTGACGTCAGTAGTTGCGTTGTAAACGATACCACAACAGTTTTATACACTCACTAACCATAATAGCATATCTTGCGACTAATTACCCTAAGTCTAACATAGTTACAACAATGTTACACTAACCTTGGTAACGTAAGGAGAGAGATACATTGTAATCTACATCTGGAAAATTCCAGAGGGATTGGTCCCAAATCTACAAACATAGATTGTTTCCTGTGAGAGTAAGAGGGTTGTCAGACGGTGTAAAATGAAAGACTTGGCGAGTGTGAAGGGACCAAGACTTTTCAACGTCCTCCCTTCATACATATGGGGGATTGCCAACAGACCCCTGCCTGTCAGTGCCTGACCAACCGGGCTGTGTTGCTTCTGCTGGACCAGTCGCCTGGCTGATTAAGTCACCTGATGGCCTGGTCTGGGACCGGTCAGCAGGGGTGTTGACCCTCAGACAACACTCCAGGTAGTTACCTCAAGCCTCACGTCGTTACAACAACAATAACAACAGTGTTACACACTAACCTTGGTAACGCAGCTTACTACTAGTTACCTCAAGTCTCACATCGTTATAAAAGTCGTTTATCTTCGTTATCAGTTTTTCATTATTATTACTCCTCATTATTCTGAAGAAAATGTTCTTATCAACGATACATTATATTTTCCACTCTCTTTTTTTGCCCTTATTAAATTATCTCCCATTATCTTAAGTATATTACAGCTGCTCATTAAATTTTCACTAATTATATATAATTTGGGATATTAATTATGAGGGAGATTATTTACCAGGGATGGAATAAATACGCGAGATGCCTCGGCCACCTCTCTTCCCTCTAATATTATTATAGTCTTGGAGACGCGCTACACCCGTAGGGGTGATGTAGCGCCTGGAGAACGGGGGAGGGGGAGTGATCAGGTTTGAGCCAGAGAAAGGGACGGTAGCTTCAGTTCCCTGGATCAAGAATTCATACACTGGAATCAAGGTATCATACTTGTAGGGAATTTTTGGTGTCAGGAATGGGGCATTGGCACTATTTGGTTATCAAGAATGGGGCACTGGTTCTAGCTACTGGAATATATACTTTTGTTACATATTTGGGAGTAGACATGTCGATAAATGGGGGTCTGAAATGGATACAAGTGCTGTGGCGAGGCACCTGTGGAAAAATATTTATGGAGGAATAAAGGGGTAATGTACCAGAGTATAGAGCTATCAACACTGTTATATTGGTGTGAAGCACTGGTTTTAAACCTTCTGGAGAGGAGGACGCCAGAGGCAGTGGAGATGTCATGCTTAAAATCAGTGTGGTGTGAATATTATGGAGAGATTTCGGAGCGTAGAATTTAGATGGTGTGCGGGAACTAGACTAATTTTGGGAGCCGATGAATTGATGTGGTTTGGATATTTACGTAGGATAAAGCAAAATATTATGGGTAAGAAGGTGTACAGTAGGGTTGTGTGAGCATGTTAGGAGTGGAAAAGAGCGGTTTTCATGGCCTAACATGCTGTTGGGGTGTGAGCAAGATAACATGAATCAAGCAAACTGGTTAATTAACCAGACTTGAGTCTCAGAGGTGGGAAGTACAGTGTTCTCACTATAAAGGAGTATGTCATTTGCACTCTGAGGGTCATTTGCACTATGATGACTGCACACTTCTGGCAAGACAGAAGTGCACGTGTTGTTGCTTTATCTTTCGAGTCATCTTGTCTCGGTGAGACGGCTAGTGCTTGGTTTATATCATATGAGACGACTAAAATGCCAGGAGCAAGGGGCTAGTAACCCCTTCTCCTGTATAAATTACTATAACTTTCAAAAGGAAAACTTTCGTTTTTCTTTTTTAGGTCACCCTGCCTCGGTGGGATATGGCCGGTATGTTGATATATATATAACCTTCTGTAGGCATTCAAATCCATTGCTAGCAGTACACTATCCCACATCCCTAAAGCGGCTCGCCCATATGCAGCAGGGAAATTCACAGACCTTCTTAAGCGGGTGAATGGAGGTTCCACCAACTTAGAAGCCCGAGGCACCATCCAAGCATGGCGCAACCTACTCTTGTTCGGCAATGTCTGTCTTGCAGTTCCTGAAAGACGAGGCAAACTGCTAACCACGTCAGTTATCAAGGCAGTGCGCAACTACCCAAGAACGGACAACTGTGTCCCTCTGCCCCATCATCGCAGGAATCAAAGAGGTAGACCCAAGAAAAGTCCCACTGAAAACGAGAAAATTTGCGCACAGGTTAGCAAAAAAATCGAAGGTAACACAGTGGGAGCAATAAGAATAATTACAAGTGACGACACTGTAGCCCCCAAGGATGAGACCACAGCCCAAGCACTAAGAGACAAGCATCCAACCAGGGACACCATAGCCATCAACAACAACCCTGAGGAAGACCCCATCACTGAACAATTAATTTTGCCAGAATCGGAAGTCTATAAGGCGATCGTGTCATTTCCAACAGGATCTGCAGGAATTCGACCTCAGCACCTCAAAGAGATGGTAAATCCAGTACTCGGTGAATCTGCTTCAATTCTTCTCACCGAGTTAACAACTTTCGTCAACAATTGCCTGGCTGGGCGAATCCCAGAAGAAATTAAACCTTTCATTTTTGGAGCCTCACTTTGTGCTTTGAAGAAGAGGGATGGGGGGAATCAGACCCATTGCAGTTGGAAACACTCTTCGCCGTCTCATTGCTAAAGCAGAAGTGAGAAACATTCGCCTAGAAGCTGCCACTTTACTCCAGCCACACCAACTGGGCTTTGGGGTCTCTCAAGGCAGTGAAGCTGCAGCTCATGCCGCAAGGGCCTGCATCAGGGACCTACCAGAAGACAAGGCCATAGTCAAACTTGATTTTAATAATGCCTTTAATATGGTGAAGAGAGATGCTGTTTTGCTAGCTGTTCGGGATCGGCTCCCCAGTCTTTTTCCCTTCATTTCAGCTGGCTACAGCAAATCCTCAATTCTTTTGTTTAGAGAACATGAAATTCAATCATCAGAGGGTGTTCAGCAAGGTGACCCACTCGCTCCACTTCTCTTCTGCTTGGCAGTAAGAGAACTAACTTCCAGCCTATGCAGTGAGCTCAATATCTGGTACCTGGATGACGGCACTCTGGCAGGTACTGAAGAGTCCCTGGTGGGGGACCTACAACTGGTGAAAACACAGGGAGAAGACTTGGGACTCATCCTCAATCCCTCCAAGTGTGAAATCATCACAGCGAACCAGGAAATAATCCATGCTGTGCGAAGAATCCTCCCGGAGGTCTCAACTACCACTCCATCCAACAGTAATCTCTTGGGGGCACTGCTGGGTCACCAGGCCATCGACACTGTCCTCAGGGACAAATTGAATGACCTGATGAGAATGGAGGAGAGAATAAGCGATCTTGATGCCCATGATGCTCTGTATCTCCTCACAAGGTGTCTTACTATGCCAAGACTCACTCACTTCTTGAGGTGTGCACCCTCTTTTGACAACCCAACACTCGATGAATATGACGCACACCTGAGAACAACTTTTAAGAAGGCACTGAACCTGTCACTAGAGGATGAGCAGTGGGATCAGGCAACCCTCCCAGTGCGACTGGGAGGTATAGGGGTGCGTAAAGCAACGCATGTTGCTTTACCTGCTTTTCTGTCTTCGTGTTTGGCTTCCAGTTCATTAGTCAAGAAGATAGTTCCCGAACGCTTGATAGACGTGGTAGGAGCTCAAGACCCCAGGTTTACTGAAGCAGCAATTCGGTGGGACACCCTTACAGACTCCTCCAGTAGACCAGCTCCTCCCCAAAGAGCACAAACAGTCCCACTGGGACAAACCGATCATGGAAAAAATCGCCAACACAATGCTCTCCAATGCTTCAGGAAAGGACAAAGCTCGTCTCCTGGCAGTGAAGGCACCACACTCAGGAGATTTCCTGTTAGCTGTTCCCAATTCCTCCCTGGGCACCTGTCTCGACCCACAGGCCATTCGGATTGGTGTTGCTCTTCGCCTAGCCACCCCCATCCTCACCGAACATAGGTGTATTTGCGGCAGGGCGACAGCTGATCAATTCGGACTTCATGGTTTCGTGTGTCACACAGCAGAAAGGAAGTATGCCAGACATGAGGAGGTCAATGACATCATAAAGAGAAGCCTCGCCACAGCCCATTGCCCAGCTCAACGGGAACCCCAAGTACAGAGGTCTGATGGAAGTCAAAAGCGTCCTGATGGAGCCACTATGCTACCCTGGAAGGATGGAAAGCAGATTGCCTGGGACTACACCTGTGCTGCCACATTGGCAAACACCTACTTGCCATACTCCGTAGTGGAAGGGGATGGAGCTGCCAGCCACAGGGAGACCCAGAAGATCCGAAAATATGAAGACCTTTCCCCTGCTATAACTTCATTCCAATAGGGTCGGAGACCCTTGGAGCATGGGGCAAGCGTGCTCTAAAGTTCCTCAAAGAGCTGGGTGAAAAGCTCATCATAGAAACCAAGGACCACAGGGCGACCAGCTTCCTCTTTGAGAGACTCAGTGTTGCGATCCAGAGAGGAAATGCCTGCAGCATTCTGGGCACGCGACCCACCGCCGGGGAGCTGGACGAAGTATTTGAGATGTAGCTCTGAGTTACCTATGTTGTTTTACTTTCTGTTGTATTTTTGTGAATGTTTGGCCAATGTATTTTGTCTTTAAATAAAACATACTTGAAATATAGGGGGTGGTAGGAGAAAATTCTCAAACAGCTTCAGGGAGAACCTTGAGTTTTCCCTGAAGGAAGTTTATTCTTTTCTCTGAGGATGAGGGTCCCTAGGACAGTTCTAGAGGTGGTACCTATATATATATATATCGTGACGAATAGGTAAAACTGGTCAATTAGCAAGAACTCATTTAAAATTTAGTTCTATCTAATATTTTCTCTTATACGTTTAAAGACAATTTTTTTAAACTTATGTTAATGTAAAAATTAATAATTTTGTACCAAAAGAACTTTAGGGAACTTACCTAACCTTATTATAACAAGCGCAATTTAATTTAGCCTAATCCAACTAAATATATTTTAGATAAGTTTACAATAATTTAATAATAAACAAACACAATGAAATATTTTTTTTCGTTAGGTTCAGAATGATTTTTGTGAAATTACTGCATACACAGATTTTTGCTTGCATTATTCGGCAAGAAGAGCGTTGCTGTTTAAGCCAAAATCTCAAGTTTTACCTATCGCTTATATATATATATATATATATATATATATATATATATATATATATAATATAATATATATATATATATATATAATATATATATATATATATATAATATATATATATAAATTATATATATGTCGTGCCGAATATGTAAAACTGGTCAATTAGCAAGAACTCATTTAAAATTAAGTCCTTTCTAAAATTTTCTCTTATACGTTTAAAGATATATTTTTTTAATTAATGTTGATGTAAAAATTTATAATTTTGCAACAAAAGAATCTTAGAAAACTTACCTAACCTTATTATAACAAGAACAATTTATTTTAGCCTAACCCAGCTAAATATATTTTAGATTTGTTTACAATAATTTAATATTAAACACAGTGAAATATATTTTTTTCGTTAGGTTCAGAATGATTTTGGCGAAATTATTGCATACACAAATTTTCACTTGTCCTATATGGCAAGATGAGCGTTGCTATTTAAGCCAAGATAGCAAGTTCTGCCTATTCGGCACGACATATATATATATATATATATATATATATATATATATATATATATATATATATATATATATGTGTGTGTGTGTGTTGTGTGTGTGTGTGTGTGTGTGTGTTGTGTGTGTGTGTGTGTGTGTTGTTGAATGTGATAGAGTGTGTAAAATGTCTATTCACCCCCTGACATCGGCTTCCTCTTGGTTATTGCAGTAAACTGTCAATTGTTAATGAGCTGGAAGTTAGCACATGTGATATGTACATTGAGTTACATTATTATATCCCCAGGTGTACTACATCACCTGCCCGGAGACCACCAAGTCCTTCACACACTTCCCTACCACGCCCACGGGGGCGGAGGTAACGAGCATCGAGCAGGCTTCAGGCGTGTGCGTGGCCCACGCCCGCGAGGAGAGCGCCCCGTCCTTCCTGTGTACGGGTGATGGACAGTGGTCGCTGCTCAACGGTGGTTGTGCCTGTCTACCAGGCTACCAGGCCAATGTTGACAAGCAGAGCTGTGACGGTGAGTACAATATTTGTTTTCTTGTGTGAGGGAACGGAGGCTCGAGTCTCTGCGACCTCACGTGTAAACGCTTCAAATAATAATAATAATTATTATTATTATAAAAAAGAAGCGCTAATAATAATTTTAAAATGTTTTTGTGTATCTACATTATTATTATTGGTAATACTGTTCCTGGGCATGATTCGAGGAAGGGAAGGGTAGCTCCACTTCCATGGATTAAAAGCCCTTCAGCATTAAGGTAGTCCCTCTCCCCTTCCCTTTGAAGTGTTTGTCACCCTTTAACCTGTGGGCAACGTTAAGTACTTGCTGGTCTCAGACCAGACCTTTCTGGCTGCTTTTGGTCTCAGACCAGACCTTTCTGGCTGCTTTTGGTCTCAGACCAGACCTTTCTGGCTGCTTTTGGTCTCAGACCAGACCTTTCTGGCTGCCTTTGGTCTCAGACCAGACCTTCCTGGGTCTCACTGTGCGTAATATCTGTACAGTTGAGTTAGTCTGGTCAAGAGACCGTGGTCTGTAACGATGGTTATTGTGTGTATGGCTGGGTCAGGTTAAGAGACCGGGACGAGACGTGCAGACAGAGGTTCCAACCTTCATTCCTGCCGCTGACTAACCCATCTATTTTAATCCTTCAACAAACGCAAAACAAAAAAAATCTGTCGTATTTTACGGCGAACAAGAAGCTCCGGTGTCGAGGACGCTTTCCCCTCCCGTCCATAAGCTCCGGTGTCGAGGACGCCTCCCCCCCGTCCATAAGCTCCGGTGTCGAGGACGCCTCCCCCCCGTCCATAAGCTCCGGTGTCGAGGACGCCTCCCCCCCGTCCATAAGCTCCGGTGTCGAGGACGCCTCCCCCCCGTCCATAAGCTCCGGTGTCGAGGACGCCTCCCCCCCGTCCATAAGCTCCGGTGTCGAGGACGCCTCCCCCCCCCGTCCATAAGCTCCGGTGTCGAGGACGCCTCCCCCCCCGTCCATAAGCTCCGGTGTCGAGGACGCCTCCCCCCCGTCCATAAGCTCCGGTGTCGAGGACGCCTCCCCCCGTCCATAAGCTCCGGTGTCGAGGACGCCTCCTCCCCGTCCATAAGCTCCGGTGTCGAGGACGCCTCCTCCCCGTCCATAAGCTCCGGTGTCGAGGACGCTTTCCCCTCCCCGTCCATAAGCTCCGGTGTCGAGGACGCCTTCCCCTCCCCGTCCATAAGCTCCGGTGTCGAGGACGCCTCCCCCTCCCCGTCCATAAGCTCCGGTGTCGAGGACGCCTTCCCCCCCGTCCATAAGCTCCGGTGTCGAGGACGCCTTCCCCTCCCCGTCCATTCTGATTGGATAAATTTTGGAAAAAAAAAAAGACCAACGGTACTTCAGCCTCCAAGACGCTGGGTAAATTTTCCAGATTTATTTTTTTGGGAAAAGAAAAATAAGTGTCTTCGACGCCGTAAAATACAGCATATATAGTGAGTCTGGACTTGTAGCTCTGCTTGTTGATAATGATGGTGATAATGATGGTGATAATGATGGTGATAATGATGGTGATAATGATGGTGATAATGATGGTGATAATGATGGTGATAATGATGGTGATAATGATGGTGATAATGGTGGTGATAATGATGGTGATAATGATGGTGATAATGATGGTGATAATGATGGTGATAATGATCATGATGATGGTGATAATGATGGTGATAATGATCATGATGGTGATAATGATCATGATGGTGATAATGATGGTGATAATGATCATGATAATGATGGTGATAATGATCATGATGGTGATAATGATCATGATGGTGATAATGATGGTGATAATGATGGTGATAATGATCATGATGGTGATAATGATGGTGATAATGATGGTGATAATGATCATGATGGTGATAATGATGGTGATAATGATCATGATGGTGATAATGATGGTGATAATGATCATGATGGTGATAATGATGGTGATAATGATCATGATAATGATGGTGATAATGATCATGATGATGGTGATAATGATGGTGATAATGATCATGATGGTGATAATGATGGTGATAATGATCATGATGGTGATAATGATCATGATGATGGTGATGATGATGGTGATAATGATCATGATAATGGTGATAATGATCATGATGGTGATAATGATCATGATAATGATGGTGATAATGATCATGATGATGGTGATAATGATGGTGATAATGATCATGATGGTGATAATGATGGTGATAATGATCATGATGATGGTGATAATGATCATGATGATGGTGATAATGATGGTGATAATGATCGTGATAATGATCATGATAATGATGGTGATAATGATCGTGACAATGATCATGATAATGATCATGATAATGATGGTGATAATGATCATTATAATGATCATGATAATGATTATGATAATGATCGTGATAGTGATCATGATCGTGATAATCATCGTGATAATGATCATGATAATGGTCGTGATGATGATCATTATAATGATCATGATAATGATCGTGATAGTGATCATGATCGTGATAATCATCGTGATTATGATCATGATAATGGTCGTGATGATGATCATGATAATGATCGTGATAATGATCACGGTAATGGTCGTGATAATGATCATGACCATGATAATGATCTTGATCATGATAATGGTCGTGATAATGATCATGATCGTGATGATCATGATAATGATAATGATCATAATGATCGTGATAATCGTGATAATGATCATGATAATGGTAGTGATAATCATCGTGATAATCATGATAATGGTCGTGATAATGATGATAATAATCGTGATAATGACCATGATAATGATCAGTATAATCAGGATAATGATCGTTATAATGATAAAGATCGTGATAATGATCATGATAACGATCGTGATAATGATCATGATAACGATCATGATAATGACCATGACCATGATAATGCTCGTGATAATGACCATGATAATCGTGATGACCATGATAATGATCGTGATAATGACTATGGTCGTGATAATGATCGTGATAATGACCATGATCATATTGATAATGTTCATAACCTTAACATAGATCCATACACCTTGTGAACCGAGATTCTAACATGACCGACGATTGCCGCCGCTGCCGCCGCTGCCGCCGCCGCTGCCGCCGACCTCACGCAGCGACTTCAAACAACAACAACAGCAACACTGGTCGGTTACTACAATGAATTTCAGCGGCTCATCAATCATCATTTATTTTGTCAAAAGATCATAAATTTATTAACGGTGTAGTCAGATCCTGACCTCACCGTAAATAAATTTATGATTTAGGTCCTGGTGCGGTAATGACCTGGGGAACGTACCCCAGGTCTTGGAATGGTAATAATTATCATTGTTAACTCTGCCTTGACCCGGGGTACATAGCACAGGTCTGGGCGACCTGTGGGTGCACGTTGGTCTTCTCAGTATTCCCAGACATGGTGTCAGATCCCATTGTCTTCACCTGTTAGTAGCCTCTCAAGCTGGTTTTCTTGTGCTGGTGTGTATCTGGTAGGCAAGATATACTGCAGTGCGTATAATACCAACTTTTTACTATACTCTGCGTTGATGTTGATACAAGACCACTGACTAGCGTGCTCAAGTCAACTCTACAGTGAATACAAATCACAGAACAGGTGGGGCTTTAACCTGTGTCACGTGAGTCCTAAAACTCACAGGCCAGTGCGTTAACCACTTAGCCAGGTATATTTCTTTACACCCAAGGGAGGTTAGCATGGGCCACCACTGTGACCACAAATTCAGGATTTTACCGACTACTCGCACACCAGCGTGGCTGTGGCGTACTCTGGCTCAAGTCTCTTCAAAGCCGCCATCATGACTCACGAAATTGTAATAACATGATTGGCTAGGAGCATACTGGGCTGTGAGTTTTCTGACTCACCTGTCATGTGTTCGAGCCTCACCCGTTCTCTGCTTTGTTTGTAATTATGTTATGATTTCCTGAGTCACGAGAGCTACACCAGAGCTACACCAGATCTACACCAAAGTTACACCAGAGCTACACCAGAGTTACACCAGATTTACACCAGAACTACAAGAGAGCTACACCAGAACTACAAGAGAGCTACACCAGATCTACACCAGAGCTACATCAGATCTACACCAGAGCTACATCAGAGTTACACCAGAACTACAAGAGAGCTACACCAGAGCTACACCAGAGTTACACCAGAGCTACACCAGATTTGCACCAGAACTACAAGAGAGCTACACCAGAGCTACACCAGAACTACAAGAAAGCTACACCAGAGCTACGCCAGAGCTACACCAGAGCTACACCAGAGCTACGCCAGAGCTACACCAGAACTACGAGAGCTACACCAGAACTACGAGAGCTACGCCAGAGCTACACCAGAGCTACACCAGAGCTACGCCAGAGCTACACCAGAGCTACACCAGAGCTGCACCAGAGCTACATCAGAGCTACAGTAAACATTAAGTTCCTCACATATTTCCCTGACACTCCGTCTAAACTTCTTCTCCGTCACTCTTATAATATCGACCTTCGTATTATTTTTTCTTGTGTGTCTGAGGAACAATTTCAATTTCCTTTTTGGCCTTTGATGCAATATCACTTTCAAATTGCCTCTCCGCTTTTCTTTTCTCTCATATTCATCTCCAGCACTTTGGTAATGTCCTTTTTTGTGGTTTCCCTCTTGTTCCACCACTCTTCTCTGCATTCCTCATTGTGTGATTTCTCTATGTTCGATACGGATGTAAGAACATAAGAAAGAAGGAACACTGCAACAGGCCTACTGACCCATGCGGAGCAGGTCCATGTTCCCCCCCAGATTAGACCAATGACCCCCTCCCTGGACTAGCCCAATGAACCACCCAGTCTGGTCATCTCCACTCAAGGATGGAGCACTGCACCAGACCCAGCAGCACAAGCTAGTCAGGTCCAACTCACACTCACCCACACCCACTCATGTATTTATCTAACCTATTTTTAAAACTACACAACGTTTTAGCCTCAATAACTGTACTCGGGAGTTTGTT